GACCGTGGGCGGTGCTGGGGTCGTCTGGAGCGCGAGATAGAGGGGGCGGAACAGGGAGGGAGGGTGGGGGCTCCCTCCACCGACCGAGCAGCCCGAGGTGTTGCGTTCGCTGAGGAGCGCCGACCACCTGTTGTGCGGTCCATCGAACAGGGCATCACGCCAGCCGCTGGCTCGCCAGGCCTGATGGTTATTATGGCGTCAGCCGATCGGCATGGCCACGCCAGGGCAGCGCAGTGGCGCGACCGGCGACACGAGAGGACCGGACGACCGACAAGGACCACCGGACGGTCGGCTGATGCGCCACGCTAATGGGAGTACAGCGCACCGTAATAGCTGCTTAGGATAATGTGAATGGCGAATGCCAACAGGCGATTAGAGAAGTTTGCGTAGTGCATGGTATGTGATCAAATATTTCCATTGCGTTAAGTGTTATTTGGCTCTACTTTGGTCTAAGTTGCTCAGGTAATGAGGTAACATTGATCTGTTTGTTCAGTAAATAATGCAATGATAGCTACCTTCCCTAATCGACTTGGATAATAGCGTGACGATATTCCATACTGTTCCAATACTCCTCATTGGCCGTTTTCACGACGGAACTTTCGCAGAGGAACTTATTTGATACCTAAAAAGTACCTACCCTTAGAGGCCTTAACATCCCTCAAACTGAAATATTTTATGTTCAAAATAATTTTAGAAGTTTAAATCTGGGCATTTTTTGCCCTCAAATCACTTATTTATTTACAAACACAGCAATTTTTGGTTCTAGTAGCCCACCTTTCGACTATGAGGTATTAAATCAGCGTGGCAACTTGCTCCCTCTTTGCTCCCTCGGGTATCTAATTCCGGAATTCTTAAAAACAAGGAAAGTATATATCGAGTTCTCTTTTATACCTATTCAGTTATGTTTTAATGGTGATCAAAATATGACAAATTTTTTAATTACATTTCATATAAGAAAACACGCAAAACAATGAAACAAAAATAACTACGGCAGATAATTACCTTCAGGTATCTAATTCCGACCAATCAGCACCTCAGTAGGATATGACGTCATACAAGAATGGTGGTGAAGGCCGTTTGCAGTCCCGGCCGGTAGGTCACGTGACCGCCGGGCGCCTCGGGTCACGCGGCGGTCGGGAGTCGGACGCGGGGCGTGGTCGCGGGCGGACGCGCGGGGCATCATGCTTTGCTTTGCTTGCTTTGTTAACTTCATATAACTTACTATCGCATTCGTGTGAAAGCCAAACACTGCTCAGTGCCCTTAGAAATTGAGTTTTGGAAAGCTCAAGTCCCTATAGCTCCTCAGGTCGGCAACAGTTGAAGCCTCATCTGAGCCCATGTGAAAAAACGACGGTAAGGAACCTTGTGTTGCTTTTTCTTTTACCGTCATAATTATCTCAAACCATCACAATTTTGAGTTGCCACATTGTCTGCTTCACTACATTCGTGTAAAACTTGGGTGAAGGCTGGTGGCTCAAAGAAAGGTGAAGATATTTCTTTTAGTGCCTAATCCGTGAAATTGAAATATCCCGGCTTTACAAATCTACACTTTTCATTTTCTCCACGATACATTTTTTAAAATTGTTTAAATTTTATCTACATTTGTTAAAATCGGGGCTTTGGTTTTTTGTAAACTAGATCGTAAAGTTTACTATAGTTTTGTGTAGCCTGATGGCTGAAGAAAATAGTAATTTTGCTAAAATGATGTGCGGAAATTTGTTGCTTTCCAAATCAAATTACTCATACCTATATTTCATTCAAAATTAGGAGGCATTATTACTGTTTTTTCTTGTAACATGAACTGAGTTTGGGTACGGTGCTCCGGAAACGTTGTGGAACTTTAAGCTAGCTAGAGCAGTTTCCATAAAAATTGTTTAGGTAGATAGTTGACATGGCTTGTTGACAACTCTTTTGCTGTTTCTAAAAAAGTGAAAAAATATTTTCCTGCATTAAGCACACAAGGCATGTTATTCTCATAAGCTATCGAATGTGTGTGTGTGTTTTTTAAGCTGTTTTTTTAAGCTTTTAAGCTGTAACTTCAGTTACTTCACTTTAGAACATATTGCCCAGAATGCGTCACTGATCATGAGCTGGTATATCATATCATATGTAGCAAATACATAAATGAGAATAGTGTGTCATGAATTTTTGTGCATGCTTCTGGATCATCTGTAATTACATCAAAGGCTCGGCTCAAGAGTGTCCTGCCGACCAGCTTATGCCCAACCCTTTCTGTCCGCAGAACGTCGCCTGCGACTCCCGCACGCCGTTTGCCCCGGCCGTCCGTACTGGTCTTCGCGCTGCGAGCCGCGCTGGAGTTCGCGGCGGCGTCGTGGAGCTCCCATCGGGACGGCGTGTGATGCCCGCGTCGAGCTTATAAGCCGTGAGCTTCGATTGGCGGCTCACGCGGTCACCAGCTGTATGTACAGCCTCGGCCCCGACGACCCCGCTAATGGCCGAGACCGGCATACCCCCGGCATGGGTCCGCTGTCCGGCGCAGCGCTGGCCGCCCGCATGCTATGCTACTTTTGGCTGTATCGCTGCCCAGCGGGAGCGCGCTCCACGCTGCGGAAGAGGTACACGTTGCGACCCGACTGAGGACTGCAACCGGATGGTGACACGTCGGCCTCTGCGCCCTGGCCGGGGCAGGCGTGACCGACGTCACAGTGGAGGAACGCCCAAACAAGACCAGCCCACCGTCGGAGCAGCATGGAAATATCATGTTCTGCCTGGACGTCGGACCCGGCGGCCGCAGTGCATCTGCACACGTGCGGAGAGGGGCGCTGGAGGCTACTCTGGAGCTTCTGCCATTCCGCGGCGCGACTGCTGGCAAAACGGCGGCGATTGAGGCGGTTGGGAACAGCTGCAGCAATGGTGATGGCGGTGATGGCGACATGGCGGTTTGGGACTTCATCTCAGCGCGGCCGCCGCCCAGGCGCCGCTGCGCCCGGCTGCTCAGCCACCTACCGGATGGCGGGGTGGCCCTTACGGCCCTCACGCCCGTTCGGTCTGCGGCCACGTTGTGGGGTGGCGGTCGCGGGGTTAGCGGCGTTGGACTTCGTCCTTTATCCAGACTGCACCGTACCATCTGAACGGATGGATCTGCCAAGAAAGATGACATCCAAGGCGGCTATGAGGCGATCACAAAGCTTCACCAAGAGCTTCTCCTTCATGGGGCCGGCCGGCCGTTAAGTCGCAACACCGGCTGCCGAGTGCCAACAGCTGCGTGCGCTGGCGCCGACGCGTTGTGGGCCGCGCTGCTGACGCCCAAGCTGCGATATCAACCATCTATGAATAAGTGGCAGCGGTGGCGGCTTGTCAGTTGTTAACGTGCCAATTAACAGACGTTGCGAATAGCCCGCGTTGGAATCGCATGGTTGGGAACACAACGCAAGTAAAAATGGGCTTCCTTGATGAACCTACTTTTTAAGCATTGTAGCCTTTGTAATTTTGGATGTTTTGCTGTAGATATTATTTTCTACATATATACTATATAGGCACTCACGTGCTTTAAATCGCGCAATGCAATTGAACCATGGTAAAGACAATAATAAATGAACTGAGAGCTGACATGCCCCATGCTTTGTGTGTGTATGTGTGTGTGTGTGTTTTTTTTTTTGGCGAGTCGATAAAAGTGGTTTTGGACACTGGATGAGTTTTTAGGGGTGTGGTGAGGGGGGATGTAATTCCACAGACATTCTGTCAGATTCACTAATGCAGTAGGTCTGTGCGGTGTTTAGTTATCGGAGCATTCTTTGAAAGTCGTGAATAGGGCCACCGAGTACCTAAAGCCGTGATATTCCCCCACAAAAAACTTCTTTTAAATAACCGGGGATAGGTACATGAGCAGAGTAAATGCTATTACGAACGCCTATCACAATGCTGAGCGAATAGGAAAATCCATAGATGGAGAATTGTGCCGCGTTACGGGTGCTCGGGCGCACCCAATCCACCGTTACCCCAGCGGTGACCTTGACCCGCATCGTCTGTCTCGGCTCCAAAGCCAAACCGGCGTGGAATTGGGAGCGTTCGAGCACTCATGGTCCAGCGCAATTCTCCACCTAAATCCATTCCTGATACACATTTGCTTGCTCATAGTCATGTAACCCCGGTAAATTCACCCAACTTTCATATTGGTCGCTCCATAGACAGATGGCCACAGAGATCAACTTAAAAGGCCATTGTTGCATTCATTTAGTGGAGATCATTAAAGAGCCGTGACAGGCCACAAGTCGCGTGACATCATACGTGTAACGACCAATGACGACGGCCTGCAAAACCCAATGGAAGCGGCTAGCAGCGTGCAATAAAACAGGGCGCTGCTTTCTAAATGTCTGTCGTGCGCCATAAATGAATATATTCTTTGTAGCCTGGCAGCTCAGTATCTTTTTTTAACTATTGTACTAGTATTTAATAATTTCATAATTTTATAATTGTGCTTACGCTTTATGTTGATATTAGTGATAAATCCTTAGATAAAGTAAATCGATGTGATATTTAATAGAAAAATAGCAAACTAACGCACCATTCATTCGAAAGCTGGGGAACCTACTAAAAAGAACTACTAAAATTCCTGAGGAACTTAAGGATCAAATGGGGATTAAATAGATGCCTGCTATTCCGTCGTGAAAACGGCCATTATGAGCAATTGAGCAGCCCGACCTTCTACATCCCCGGCGCCACAAAAGTTCCTTACATCGCACAAGAGCCGGACTTCTGGCGAGTTGTACTTACTAAGCTACCACGCCACTCGCCAGGGAAGGTTAGTAAATATGGTAAAATGTAGCCTGGCATTTTGAGGCGACGCGTGCTCAAAAACCGACAACCATATCTCACAGAGGTTTTTTAGGTTTTAGTATCGGACTGCGTCTGTAAATGGGTGTCATACCTGTGGGCGTTCAAATAAATACATACATACATCTCGCAGAGTGTATGTACCGGTCCCTGAGAGCTCGCTGAAGTCACGATGTCGCTGACGCCCGTGTCCAATCTGTCGACAGGCGGTAGCCGTGGTGGACGTGGTGGTGTACTACGAGGCTTTCTGTCCAGACAGCCGCTCCTTTATCTCCGACCAGCTGTGGCCGGCCTACCAAAGGATGCCCGACACGCTGCGGGTCGAGCTCGTGCCTTACGGAAAGGCAAAGGTATGTGTGCGTCTAGGTACATATGGCGATATTCGTTTGAAACCTTTATTTTGCATTATTGCATTATTTGCGTTTGCTGAAAAAAGTTATTCCATTTATCAATACATCAGTGAGGCTTGGGATCGAAAGGTGTTCAAGGCTTCGCACTATATATAAAATTTTGGAATACAAATATATATATAAGCAGAAACACAGCGGGCAATGTGAATTAATAGCATTTTGTCACATGGTCAATAAAACCCAGCCGTTGCGTGACCTAATGTGATATGCAGTCAGCATCTGCCTCGTCATTTATTTATACTCATTTGATTGAATGCACAAAACATCGCTATTTCATGGTTACCTCATGACTCGTATTGCCAGCCCTGAAGTGTTTTGACAGCACTTGAAGTGTGGTTCCAGCGTTCCCAAACATCCACAGCAATTCTACACACCACCCAGCAGTTCAGCAAATCTATATAGCCTTGAGCAGACCGCTCCCAATAGCATCGTCATCTGTGGTAGGGCGGCAGGCTGTCCATGATGAATCGCAATGGTGTGCTCCTCCGAGAAACACCAATCATAGATCATCACACCACTTACATACATAGCTCGCAGGATATGTGTGGGAATTTAGCAGAGCAGGCGCATGGTCTCGCAAGGAAAATAATTTAAATAATTGTAGTGAACGTCGCCTGCCCACGATGTCTTTTAGGGAAACAAATGTGCTGCTTTGACAGGCAAAATAATGTATTATTAAAACTAAATGGAGAGGACGAAGCTGTCTCCGGATGGTTCCTTTCCCATGAGCTGAGATGTATATTTAGCAGGTGCTTGCTATAGCGGTGAAATTGGCCCATAGTCTGTACCGGTCCCAGGAGCGGCGTTCCGGTAATTGGGTGCCCACGTCCGCCACAGATTGGAGTCCGCAAGGCGTAGAAAGCGATAATTGTGTTCTTCAAATATTCAAAATGGTTGGCCGTCTCACGCTTAACAATAAGCGATGCATATGGGTGTTGATAAAGCTGCCTGATCTACGTATTTCTGAATTCCTTCAGTATATCAGTGAACTGATTGCGTAGGTGAAGAGCTTTTCCAATAGGATTATTTCATGATTTCGACGTGATTTCTTAGGACGGTTATCAAGAATTAACTATATGCATTGACATTCGACGTTGCATTTGACCATGAGTGTTCAGTTGGCAATGCTCTTGGACATTTGTGAACTGTGATTTGTGAGCACGCTTTTCTTGGTCATATCAATGAAGGTGAACTATGTGATTTATGCATTTCCATTACGTGTTCGTAATTTGGCGATTGTCAGTTGGAATCATGTTTCGATTTTCTAAATCATGCATATTCTTGTTAACGTTGTTTGCGTGTCTGGACATTGCTTTGCTGTTTTGGCTGGAAAAGATGCACATGTGCATCACCAATATGCCAATAAACCTTTAAGGAGCATTATACATGCTCCCCAAGTACAAACTATAATAACGTATGTTTTCTTTAATGCACACATATTTGTGTTATAAAAAATGTTTATATATTTGTGTTATATTTTTGTGTTATAATTGGTCAACCACCCATATGTCGTTTTTGATCACCAAATGTAGACGATGATGTACATAATTACCTATTATATGTGTAAAATGATACCATTTTATACATTGTTCAAAATGTTTTTGTAATTTTGAAAAAGAAAGTTTTTAATAAATGCTCTTCATACAGTGCTTTTGCTCCGGATTTATATCCCCGTAGCTCATATGCTTCCTAATGTCATGTTCCTGCAGCTATGAGAAGCGCCCCCTTCCATTTTGATTTGGCGGTGGCCTGGTTAGGGTGCATGTCGCTGAGCCTCGACCCGAATGTGGCCGGTCGAAGCCATTTATCAGGCGCAGGGGTTGCTTGTTGCCAGTCTGTCGCCTGTGTTTCTGTCCTGAGAGTGCCCTCTGTTCAGTGTCTGCAGAGGGTCTGCTGCTCAGTGTCCTTTATCTATGGGTTTGCACTGTTCAGTGTCTGATCCTGCAGGTCTGCTGCTCAGTGTTTTGGGTTTGCTGCTCCGGTCTGTTAAACGTGATAGGTAAGTACGTAAGTACTTACTTTTACAGTTTACAACCATGGCTAGGAACACTGAGACATTTCCTTTTTTCATTCCTAGAAGTAGTATGTGTGAGTATACATTCTATCGACTACAAGGCTGTTCATTACTGTATTGGCTTCGGGCTAAAACTGGCACGACAATGACTTGGGAATGTGCCTCGCGTTGGCCTGCTATTGACATTCTAATCAATAGATGGCACTGGCATCGAGCGCCTGAATGCTATACTGTTCCGCAGCGCACGCCTGAACACCGGCCGTTTGCCCCACGTTTACCCCTGCTTCTGCGATAAATTTGGGTTGCGATAAACGATTGCGATTAACCTTTTAAATTGTTATTTTTATTGCATTAACTCAGCTCATGTAGCCAAAAGTGTGAGGGGCGTATTACGTTTGCCAGTGCATTGGTATTGTATCGCTATGTGTAGAACAATCTTATAGTGATCACGCTTATTTTTATTATAATTCCAAACTTGTGGGGCAGACCGGATGGCGGTTGCCATTAAAAGATATCTTCTTACGATGGATTATCATCTGTCCTGTCTCATTCTCTGGGGGATGCCGACATCTAATGAGCTCCCTGGTGACCCAATGACGCTGTTTGCCAGCCTGGTATAACAATCGGGACAGCTGAAGTCTATACGGAGCAGCATGGACAAAATCTGAAACTTGCGAGAAACGAATGAACAACATGTCACTCTGTAATCTGTGGCATATATTTGAAAGCAATTGACAAGTGGTTGATGATTATATTTTTTCCTTGTTTACGACGTAGGTACTGTGCTGTTTCTTGGAAATCGTACCCAATGCAGAACTATTTTTCGTCATGCAGATATATTCACAATAGCATACATTCCACATAGTTACAATGTGCTTTTTACCTAACAAGTACATTTCACTTGACTAGGATTCATTATAGCGACAAATATACGATGGAGCCTATTCTGGAGTCAGTTTATATGTTTCAACAATTCGGAGACTAAAAAATAGTATATGCTGTGTTTCACCTACTGCAAGTTTTTTTTTTTTTGCACAGTGCACACTGCACATGCAGCACAAGCCAATTGATTATTTCAAATAAATAGCACCTAGATCACAGCAGTTACTAAATGTCTAGCAGTACCACAAATGTCATGCTACAGATCAAGCGCTCAAGCTGTCAGCAGTGGAAACTATAATCCGATTATACGCTGTGTGGTCTGACCTGTACCGCACCAGTGCGTTCAAAGGAACGTTTGAGAAGCGACCAGCAGAAATAAAACGTATGTAATTGTGGCCCAAGTCCGCTCCTGCACAGACTTTCCCGGTGTCAGGAGGGACGTGAAGTTTAATCAGCAGTTGGGGCGAGACGGCCATCTTCTCCGAAATAAGTGTCTCGGATGGGAGTCGCAGCATTATTTATGGAAAGATGCATTTACATAACTTAAGAACTTTGAATGGTCCATCAGGATTCATTTAATCCGGTTTTCATAAGCGTGTTCAGTGCAAGATGCCCGAATGCGATATCTAAGACTGTCCTTGCTCCGTTGTTTTCGTTGACAGAAAGATTCTGCAATGGACATGATTCCCAACAAAAACTTGCTGTATGTTCAGCAAATGACATGATACCCTTTAATGCAATGCCGAGTGTCAGAGCTGCGCATGACATCCTCTAGTCCTCGAGGTAGGGGGCAACGGAAGTGTAGCAAGGCTACATCTTGGGACGCCTTAACATTTTCAGATCGGGACCCAGCCGCCCGCCATACTCCCCTTCCCATACTCAGTAGCAGCAGTCATCATACCGTGGCGCTCTGGTCACAAGCCTTCCATCCCAGCACCTCATCCCCACCAGTGTCAGCGCCGTCGGGACAGAGAGCCGGTCGGCCGCCGCCGCCGTAGCGTCAGCAAATTCTCGTCTAGAACGGACTACCGTCCTCAGTAACCCCGCAGGATGAGCGACAGAGGCACATCACAGCCCCGAATGAGCTGCTGTGGCGCAATGACCACAGTCCGCTGTCATCGCCACATGCCTGCCCTCACTGCGACTCATCCACAGCTGAGTCAGCAACGGCCGGCCGCCGTCGCCGCAGATTCAGCAGCCTCATCCGAGTCGAGTGACTGTCTCCAACGACCCAGGGGCGGAGCCGCGAGGGTACGTCACCAACCCCTCCCCGAAGAGCCCCAAATGGTCACCAGGGGACAGCACAGGACCGAAGTCGCAAAATCCATCAGCAATGAAAGGGGACGTTGAAAACACTCAAGTAAAAGGTTACAACAAACACTGGATGTCAAGTCGTAGCTAGTATACAAGAGAACTTCAAGAAACCAGTAAAATTTCAAGACATAAATTGCATCCCAGACGGTACCCTGGGAGCGGACCAATCAGAGAAGAGTTGGTAATGACCCATCAGAGCGGCAGAGGAACGCTCGCCGCCGGAGGCGGACAGACAGATCCCTGGGGGACTCCGGCCGAGTGACACACGCCCGATCCCACCATCTAAGTTCCCTGAGATTATCCTGGCGGCTGGGTGGGGCAAATGAAACTGGGTTTAAGAAATTTATATTATGAATTAACAACGTAACGAATACAGCTAAATATCAATACCGTACAGGCTGGACGCAGGTTACCAAAGCTTTTTTAGGAATATTGTGTGTGGATTTTGCCTGATTGGTTATTATTCGGCAAATGCGTCGTAACTTGGGAAATGATTTAATCTATGGAAGAAGCTACGGAAAAGGCAGAACTTTCCGTTAGGAATCAGAACCTTAGTGGGTTGGCGAGAAAACTGGCACATACAGCGTAGATAATATTTTGTTTCCAATGATTGAAACTGGCTTAGTTTCCGGAACGCGTAATATGATAAGATCTGTTTAGCTTTGTTGGTTAGGAAATCTTCGAATGATTAAATGTTAGGTAACAATTAGCAAACCAGAGTATGATATCA